AGTAAAGCGGTCACTGTTTGCAGATGACATGATACTATACATAGAGAATCCTAAAGATGCTACCAGAAAACTACTAGAGCTAATCGATGAATTTTGTAAACTAGCAGGATACAAAATTAATGCACAGAAATCTCTTGCATTCATATACACTAATAATGGAAAATCTGAAATTGAAATTAAGAAAAATCCCCCATTTACCACTGCAACAAAAATAATAAAATACCTAGGAATAAACCTACCTAAGGAGACAAAGACCTGTATGCAGAAAATTATGACACTGATGAAAGAAATTAAAGATGATACAAATAGATGGAGAGATATACCATGTTCTTGGATTAGAAGAATCAACATTGTGAAAATGACTATACTACCCAAAGCAATCTACAGATTCAACGCAATCCCTGTCAAACTACCACTGGCATTTTTCACAGAAATAGAACAAAATATTTCACAATATGTATGGAAACACAGAAGAGCCCGAATAGCCAAAACAATCTTGAGAAAGAAAAATGGAGCTGGAGGAATCAGGCTCCCTGACTTCAGACTATACTATAAAGCTACAGTAATCAAGACAGTATGGTACTGGCACAGAAACAGAAATATAGAGCAATGGAACAGGATAGAAAGCCCAGTGATAAACCCACGCACATATGGTCACCTTATCTTTGATAAAGTAGGCAAGAATATACAGTGGAGGGAAGACAGCCTCTTCAATAAATGGTGCTGGGAAAACTGGACAGCTACATGTAAAACAATGAAATTAGAACACTCTCTAACAGCATACACAAAAATAAACTCAAAATGGATTAAAGACCTAAATGTAAGGCCAGACACCATCAAACTCTTAGAGGAAAACATAGGCAGAACACTCTATGACGTAAATCACAGCAAGACCCTTTTTGACCCACCTCCTAGTGAAATGGAAATAAAAACAGAAATAAGTGGGACATAATTAAACTTCAAAGCTTTTGCACAGCAAAGGAAACCATAAACAAGACCAAAAGACAACCCTCAGAATGAGAGAAAATATTTGCAAATGAATCAACTGAAAAGGCTTAGTCTCCTAAATTTACAAGCAGCTCATGCAGTTCAATATCAAAAAACAAACAACCCAATCCAAAAATGGGCATAGACCTAAATAGACATTTCTCCAAAGAAGATATACAGATTGGCAACGAACACATGAAAGAATGCTCAACATCATTAATCTTTAGAGAAATGCAAATCGAAACTACAGTGAGGTATCATCTCACACCCGTCAGAATGGCCATCATCAAAAAATCTAGAAACAATAAATATTGGAGAGGGTGTGGAGAAAAGGGAACCTTCTTTCACTGTTGGTGAGAATGTAAATTGATACAGCCACTATGGAGAACAGTATGGAGGTTCCTTTAAAAAACTACAAATAGAACTACCATATGACCCAGCAATTCCAGTATTGGCATATACCCTGAGAAAACCGCAATTCAAAGAGTCATGTACCACAATGTTCATTGCACCTCTAATTACAATGCCAGGATATGGAAGCAACCTAAGTGTCCATCGACAGATGAATGGATAAAGAAGATGTGGCACATATATACAATGGAATATTACTCCGCCATAGAAACAAACGAAATTGAGCTATTTGTAGTGAGGTGAATGGATCTAGAGTGTCATACAGAGTGAAGTAAGTCAGAAAGAGAAAAACAAATACCGTATGCTAACACATATATATGGAATCTAAAAAAAAAAAAAGTGTTCATGAAGAACCTAGGGGCAAGACGGGAATAAAGACACAGACCTACTAGAGAATGGACTTGAGGACACGGGGAGAGGGAAGGGTAAGCTGGGACAAAGTGAGAGACTGGCATGGACATATATACACTACCAAACGTAAAATAGATAGCTAGTGGGAAGCAGCCGCAAAGCACAGGGATATTAGCTCGGTGCTTTGTGACCACCTAGAGGGGTGGGATAGGGAGTGTGTGAGGGAGGCAGATGCAAGAGTGAAGAGATATTGTGATATATGTATATGTATAGCTGATTCACTTTGTTTTAAAGCAATTATACTCCGATAAAGATGTTAAAAAAATAAAAGTAAAATAAAAAATATCAGAAAGCCCAACTAAATGTTGATAAACTCACATAACAAAAAGCTGAGAAAGGCCACATGGGGTTACTTACATCAGAAGTACAGCTATTCACTTTGTTATAAAGCAGAAACTAGCACATCTTTGTAAAGCAATTATACTCCAATAAAGATGTTAAAAATGACAAATAAAAATAAATAAATTATACTTTTACTTAAAAAAAAATAGAAGAAAAAAGAAGTACAACATTGCCATCAAGGTCTTGATGGATTCTGTATTCCCAAGTTGCCATCCTCTGACTTACCCCTTCATGGTCTCAAGGTGGTTATTACACTTCCAGGGATCAAATGAAGACAATGTCTTGCCAAATTTGCCACTGGTATTTTTTTTTTCATGAATCTGTTTTTAATTAGGTAGGAAATCTATTCTGAGAAGTCATCCAGCAGTCTCCCACGTTTGGATCTCATGCTTGACTCTCCCTGGAAGGAGGAATGGGAATATAGTATCTGGCATTGGCAGACCTATACGTAGCCGGAATGGAGGGGGGGATGTGGGTTGTGGAGGTGGGATGGGGAAAATGACTATTTTGAAGGCAACCAAGGGTGCCTATCCATTCTCCCGGAACACAAAGACTTAACTCAATGATAAGGGACCATTGGCCCTTCAGTGTTTCCCAGTGGAATAGCTGTGTTCTAGACTAAGGCTATCAGAGCACCTGGGCAAATGCTGTGGATACTGATTGCTTGCTTTTTACCTGCTGTTAATCTGATCTGATTTCTGTCTAAACGCTAGACGCTGCATCACCTCTCCATTCTTGCTGTTGTCCCTTCTACTTGACGTTTGAGCTAATTTCTCTGGTGTTTGACTCTCAAGTCTTTCTCACAGACGTCCAGCTTATCCTTACACATCTGGCTTCTCCTATTACCTGGTTAGGTGATGTAGGAGGCTGGGGACCCACAGGCAGCACTGGGGACTAGAGCAGAGGCGTCTGCCACACCCTCCCCTTCCTGCAGTGTCCAAGTGGAGCACGCACTTTGTGCAGCAGAACACCATGCCATAACTAGTCACGAACCATCCTCTTTTCCATTACCAGCTGGGATGGAAATTAGGAAGATAATATTTAGGGACAGAAGGATTATAAATATTATATGACAAGAAATTTACAATAATAGAAAAGCAGACCATTGCTCTTTCCCTACCCCTTCCCTCAAGAAAAAATAATTCCTACATCTCATATGATCTCATTGATATAAAATGCACAGAGCAGGCAAATCTATAGAGACAGAAATCAGATCAGTGGTTGCCAGGGGCTGGGAGAGGTCGGGGGGGAGTGGGAAGTGACTGCTGATGGGTATGGGTTTGGGGGAATGTGATGAAAATATTCTAAAATTGATTGTGATGATAGTTGCACAACTCAGTGAATATATACTAAAACCCATTGAATTGTACACTTTAAATGGGTGAATTATATAATTTGTAAATTATGTCTCAATAAAGTTGTTTAAGAAAAAGAAAGTATGTGAGACTTTTTTTTAAAGTTATTCATTGAATTCCAATGGTATCATAACCCACATTTCCACTTAGCCAATTCCTGGAATGTTACAAAAAAGGTATGAGAATTTTCCAGAACTCTGGTGTTGAAGAGGCATTTCTGCCCTTCAGTGTTCAAACCCAGGTTTGTTTGCCATTTGTGTGAGTAAAATGGACACCGACTGTCTTTTTTTTTTTTTTTAGTAAATTTATTTATTTTATTTATTTCTTTTTGGCTGCGTTGGGTCTTCGTTGCTGTGCGTGGGCTTCCTCTAGTTGCAGCGAGCGGGGGTTACTCTTTGTTGCGGTGTGCAGACTTCTCATTGTGGTGGCTTCTCTTTTTGCAGAGCACGGGCTCTAGGCGTGTGGACTTCAGTAGTTGTGACACACGGGTTCAGTAGTTGTGGCTCACAGGCTCTAGAGCGCAGGCTCAGTAGTTGTGGCACACAGACTCAGTAATTGTGGCTCGTGGGCTCTACAGTGCAGGCTCAGTCGTTGTGGCGCACGGGCTTAGTCGCTCTGTGGCATGTGGGATCTTCCTGGACCAGGGCTCGAATCTGTGTCCCCTGCATTGGCAGGCAGATTCTTTGCCACTGCGCCATGAGGGATGTCTTGAGCAAAATTGCACACAGTTGCCCCATCGATTTTTGGTCCTTGCTAATATGATTTCCAGGATAATTATCACAGAAAGTTAATCCATGCTAGCAAGCTCTGTACACTGGAGGTTTTCGGTCTGTGATAGATCAGGAAAAATATCACTTTAATAATAAATATAAATATCACTTAAATAAATGTCTGAAAAACATTTTTCCTTGTATGAAAATGAATGTTCCAATCTAGTTTTTGTATATGAACATCATAGTAATCTAACTCCAAGGAGAAGTTTCTATTTTCTAACAGATAATATTATCTTCAATACATAAAGTGAAGGTGTTATTACTATGGATATTTTGTAAGGTTCTCAGTTTCTTCCCAGAATCTTTTCAAAGATTACCCTGGGTGAGTGCCACTGGATATCCACACTTGCAGCTCCGAGCTTCAGAGCTTAAATTGTTCCTCTGATAGTTTTCACCCCCTTTACAATACAACAGAATATGCTAAACGTTCACTGTCTAGAGCAGGTTCTTTAATTCTTTATGCTCTTTATCAAGGTATAATCATTCCAAGGTGTTTACTTACTCTATGCATATCTGCATATGTATGTTTTGGCCCCAAATTTGGGGAGGGTAGGCTATGAAGAGCAGATTTTGCTTGATTTTATCTTCGCCAGAAACTTCCTTAAAAACTAAAAATTTTGTAAATTAAAAAAGACCTGACATGTCTTCCCGCGCGGCGCCGGCGCTGCCAACTGAAGGCGGGTGGGGCAGCGCGCGATTAGGTCGGCAGGGGCTTCCCGCACCATGAAGGTGAAGATCAAGTGCTGGAACGGCGTGGTCATTTGGCTCTGGGTGGCCAACAATGAGAACTGCGGCATCTGCCGGATGGCCTTCAATGGCTGTTGCCTGGACTGCAAGGTGCCAGGTGAAGACTGCCCGCTGGTGTGGGGCCAGTGCTCTCACTGCTTCCACACGCACTGCATCCTCAAGTGGCTCAACGTGCAGCAGGTGCAGCAGCACTGCCCCATGTGCCGCCAGGAGTGGAAGTTCAAGGAGTGAGGCTGCACTGCCCTACTCTCCCCTTGCCCTGAGACGGCCCCGCCCCCACAGTGGCTCTGGGTGGCCATGGTCTCCACTGGGCCAGTCCCCTTTGGGCTGTGACAGGGTTGAAACGAGGACTGGAGCTGCGTTTGTTTCTTTTTCCATCACAACATTGACACTTTTATCCAATAAGTAAAACTCATTAAACCACATGAGACTGGCAAAAAAACCAAAAACAAAAACAAAGACCTGTGAGGGATTCCCCTGGTGGTGCAATGGTTAAGAATCCACCTGCCAATGCAGGGGACATGGGTTCGAGCCCTGGTCGAGGAAGATCCCACATGCCATGGAGCAACTAAGCCCTGTGCCACAAGTACTGAGCCTGCGTTCTAGAGCCCAAGAGCTACAACTACTGAAGCCCGTGAACCTAGAGCCCGTGCTCCACAACAAGAGAAGCCACCACAATAAGAAGCCCGTGCACCGCAACGAAGAGTAGGCCCTGCTCGCCACAATTAGGGAAAAGCCTGAGTGCAGCAACAAAGACCCAATGCAGCCAAATATAAAATAAATTAATTAAAAATAAATAAATAAAAATAAGAAAAGAAGATACATTCCTTCTAGCAAGAAATAATTGTCTTCCTTTTAAACCAGATACAAAATAAACTCAAAATGGATTAAAGACTTAAATGTAAGACCTGACACCATAAAACTTCTAGAAGAACACATAGGCAATATGCACTTTGATATCGGTCTTAGCAATATTTTCTCAGATATGTTCCTCAGGCCAGGAAAACAAAAGCAAAAATAAACAGATGGGATTCCATCAAACTCAAATCTTTTGCACAGTGAAGGAAACTATCAACAAAGGGAAAAGGCTGCCTACTGAATGGGAGAAGATGTTTGCACACAATGTCTCTGATGAGGGCTTAACACCCAAAATAGACAAAGAGCTCATTCAGCTCAACCCCCAAAAAACAAAAACCCAAATGAGCAGAAGAGCTGAACAGATATTTCCCCAAGAACATACAGATGACCAACAGACACATGAAAAGATGCTCAACATCACCAATCATCAGACAAATGCAAATCAAAACCACAACGAGATATCACTTCATTCTTGTCAGAATGGCTGTCATCAAAAAGAACACAAATAACAAATGTTGGAGAGGATGTGGTGAAAAGGGGACCCTTATATACTGTTTGTGGGAATGTAAATTGGTGCAGCCACTGTGGAAAACAGTATTGAGTTTCCTAAATAAACTAAAAATAGAACTACCATACAACCCAGCAATTCCACTTTTAGGTATTTATCAAAAGAAAACCAAAACCCTAATTCAAAAAGATATATATGCACCCCAACGTTCATAACAGCATAATTTACAATAACCAAGATATGGAAGCAATCTAAGTGCCCATCGACAGATGAATAGATTAAAAAATATGTGGTACACACACACACACACACACACACACACACACACACACAATGGACTATTACTCTGCTATCAAAAAAGAATGAAATTTTGCCATTTGCAACAGCATGGATGGACCTTATGCTTAGCGAAATCAGTCAGACAAAGACAAATATCATATTATTTTATTTCTGTGTGGAATCTAAAAATCAAAACAAATGAAAGAACGAACAACAAAATAGCAACAGACTCATAGATACAGAGAACAAACAGGTAGTTTTTAGAAGGAAGAGTCGTATGGGGATGCCAGAAATAGGTGAGGGAGATGAAGAGGTACAGATTTCCAGTTACAAATAAATGAGTCACAGGAATGAAATGTATTGTATTAGTGGGGCATATGGTCAATAATAATTTAATATTTTTGTCTGGAGACAGATGGTAACTAGACTAATCATGATGACCATTTTGAAATGTATAGACATAACACTGTGTTGTGTGCCAGGAACTAACATAGTGTTCAAGGTCCAATATACTTTGAAAAACAAACAAACAAGCTCATAGAAGAAAAGACCAGATCTGTGGTTACAAGAGTGGGGGGTTATGGGAAGGGGAACTCAATGAAGGTGGTTGAAAAGGTACAAACTTCCAATTATAAGGTAAATGAGTACTAGGAGATATGGTACATATATACAAGGGAATATTACTCAGCCATAAAAAGGAACAAAATTGGGTCATTTGTAGAGACGTGGATGGATCTAGAGACTGTCATACAGAGTGAAGTAAGTCAGAAAGAGAAAATCAAATATATATTAATGCATATATGTGGAACCTAGAAAAATGGTACAGATGAACCTGTTTGCAGGGCAGAAACAGAGACACAGATGTAGAGAACAAATGTATGGACACCAAGGGGGAAAGCGGCAGGGGATGGTGGTGGGATGAATTGGGAGATTGGGATTGACATGTATACACTGATATGTATAAAATAGATAACTAATAAGAACCTGCTGTATAAAAAAATAAATACAATAAAATTCAAAAATTCAAAAAAAAAAATAAATGAGTACTAGGGATGTGATGTCCAACATGATAAATACAGTTACCACTGCTGTATGTTATATATGAAAGTTCTTAAGAGTAAATCCTAAGAGCTCTCCTCACAAGGGAAAACACATGTTTTCTTTTTCTTTTATTTTGTGTCTATATGAGAGGATGGATAGTAGCTAAACTTCATGATGATTGTAAGTCAAATTGGTATGCTGTATACCTTACATTTATACAGTGCTGTGTGTCTATATCTCAATAAAACTGGGAGAAAATAAAATAAAATTCTGAAAAAAAGAAATAATTGTCCTTAACAAGTGGTTTCCATTTTTCCAGTCTTTTCCATTGGATAGTGCAGTGGGGTGTGTGTGTGTGTGTGTGCACACAAGAGGGTAAGGGTGGTGAGGCTCCAGGGCTGTCTGCTTCGGTAAACTGATGTCCCCACAGGTGGACATGCACGTCAGTCCTGCATCCCTTGTCCTGTATCGGTGGCCACGCATTCCAGGTTACTCAGCAGCCCCGGCTGTTCACAATTGGACCATTCCCAGTTTTTCGCTCTACTAATTGTACTGTACATCTGCATCCTTCAGTCTCTATTTTTTTTAAGGACTGGTCCCTATAAGTGGAATTTGGGGAACACAATTCATACGTGTTTTTAGGTGTTGGCTGCAGTTTCCACTACCTGTGTCTCTTCATCAAGTTTGCGCCTCGTTTGGGAAAGCAGGGGCTCCTGAGAGCCCGGAGCTCCGCCTGAGGCAGGGAGGTGGCCTACTGGGCAGTGAAGGCCCTCAGGGTGTCTGAGAGTGACCCGCGGAGCAGGGAGGGGCCACCCCAGTCCCCTGGCCCAGGTTTCCCGCCCCACACCCTGCCCTATTTCCCGGAGCTCATCTTAGCCCTGCCGGTCCAGTGACACACCCAGCCCTGCCCGGCCCCACCCGGGAGCCACCCAGCCCTGGGCTCCTAACTCCGCTTCCGAGCCAAGGACGCCTGCCCTGCTTCCCGGCCAGAGGAGGCTTCAGGCCCGGCCATTCCCTCCCCCTCCAAGGCGGGGCTCCTTCTTCCCAAGAGATCACCCCTCAGAGCAGGTGGGCGACTTACAGACGTGGCTTTGACTGTGCTCAGGCCAGACGAAGTTCTGAGCCGCTACAGCAAGAACCACTGCAGCTTGTGTGAGCAGGAGAGGCCTCAGCAAAGCACGTGGGCGCCCTGGGAGCTGCGGGAAGGTCAGAGCTTCGGGCTGGGGGCTCTGGAGGCGGCACCGCCACTGAGCACCCCTCGGGCTCCCCCAGCACTGACCCCTGGCTCGGCCCTGCGCCAGCCCCCAGCCCTGGCACCCCTCACATTCAGCTTCTGCTTGGGGTGGGGTTCTGCTTCCCGCCCAAGACCCCAGGTGAGGAGAAGGGGGGAGCCCTCACCTCCCTCAAGGTGAGGACAGAGGGCGCTCTATCTGTGGCTGCGGGTCAGCGATCTCCCTCTCCTCGGCCAAGAGATGGGTCCCCATGCACAGAACATAGACCTTCACAGGGAGGACACTCAGGGATCCCCTGAGGGTAAGAGAGGGACGCCCCTGATGGAACCGGGGTGGAGAGCAGTGAGGCCCACGGGACAGGGTCCCCACGGCAGGGGCAGTGCCGTCACGGTTACGGGCTCAGGCTCAGTGTTGGTTTGTATGAAGGGGCCCAGATTCTTCCCAGTGTTGTTTCCATTAAAGACTAACTTCTTCTCCAGAAACTGACTTTCAATATCGACCCGCGAGAAGACACTGCCCCCCGCCCCCGGTGGCTGCGGGACCCTGAGATGCTGTCTCGGGGCGAGGCACAGGGGAAGTGGGAGGCACCCCAGGGAGCTCAGTGCAGCTCACTGTGGCTGCTTGGAAGGAGGGAGACCCTTTGCTGGGCGCCCCGGCCTGTGGTCCGAGGAGGAGACGGCACTATGCACGGAGCTCCAGGGTCAGCTCTGCACACTCAGAACCTCATCGTCCTCAGGCACAGGCTCATATCCAGCTCCAGGGAATGTCCTGAGTCTGATGGCGTGAGCCCCAGTGCTGTTCCCCACCGCAGGCCAAGGGACACCCCAGCCAATGGGAGTGAGAAAAAGGCTTTCTGGAGAATCATCTGAGTCTGAGGGAGCTGGGTCCTCAGCAGAGGGAACAGAGTGGGCAGAGGCAGGGAGCCCAGGGCAGCAGAGGGCTTGCAGGGAGGTCATATCAGCAGGTACAGCTAAGGATGATCCAGTCCTTACCTAGGTCTCTTTTCCAGACATGAATCGTCTCATTGAATCTCTTAAAACCCCAGGAAGAATGTAGAAACACTGTCCTTGCTTGACTGATGAGGGAATGGAACCGAAATAAACTGCCCCATTTTCTGCCCCACAGACTGGCAGCGGCAGGATTTGAACCCAGTGTTCAGTAGACCCCTGTAGGGCCCACCTGACAAGCAGGCTGCAACCAGATGCTGCAGGGGGACTTCTCAGCTCTGATAATACAACAACCTTTACTCTTGGTTCCCATAGAGAGACCTCCTTCTGCCCAGATATCGGCTGATCCTGGCACCACGAGGGCCCCCAATGGCCAGGGTGGGCCGTTCCTGGCCAAAAAACCAAGCTCCAGGCATAAGTGGTGACCCCGCCCCAGATCTCAGTGAGTTCTCAAGGTCTGGGGATCCGATTTCTGGAGGAATCCAGGGAGGAGCAGTGTGGAGAGAGCGCAGGGTCCAAGGGCAGAGAGACTGCACTCTGGTCCCTGCTCAGCCACTTC